ACGTACAGTACACTTAACTTACAGTACACTTAACGTACAGTACACTTAACTTACAGTACACTTAACGTACAGTACACTTAACGTACAGTACACTTAACTTACAGTACACTTAACGTACAGTACACTTAACTTACAGTACACTTAACGTACAGTACACTTAACTTACAGTACACTTAACGTACAGTACACTTAACTTACAGTACACTTAACGTACAGTACACTTAACGTACAGTACACTTAACGTACAGTACACTTAACGTACAGTACACTTAACTTACAGTACACTTAACGTACAGTACACTTAACGTACAGTACACTTAACGTACAGTACACTTAACGTACAGTACACTTAACTTACAGTACACTTAACGTACAGTACACTTAACGTACAGTACACTTAACGTACAGTACACTTAACGTACAGTACACTTAACTTACAGTACACTTAACGTACAGTACACTTAACGTACAGTACACTTAACTTACAGTACACTTAACGTACAGTACACTTAACGTACAGTACACTTAACGTACAGTACACTTAACTTACAGTACACTTAACGTACAGTACACTTAACTTACAGTACACTTAACGTACAGTACACTTAACTTACAGTACACTTAACGTACAGTACACTTAACTTACAGTACACTTAACGTACAGTACACTTAACGTACAGTACACTTAACTTACAGTACACTTAACGTACAGTACACTTAACGTACAGTACACTTAACGTACAGTACACTTAACTTACAGTACACTTAACGTACAGTACACTTAACGTACAGTACACTTAACGTACAGTACACTTAACTTACAGTACACTTAACGTACAGTACACTTAACGTACAGTACACTTAACGTACAGTACACTTAACGTACAGTACACTTAACGTACAGTACACTTAACTTACAGTACACTTAACGTACAGTACACTTAACGTACAGTACACTTAACGTACAGTACACTTAACTTACAGTACACTTAACGTACAGTACACTTAACGTACAGTACACTTAAGTTTATCTCGGCTGTCTTAATGTCTCTTAAAACTGGCTGTCTCATGCTTCCCTGATTATTTCCTGGCTAGATCACTTTCTCTCTCTCGTGATTTGATAATAATTAAATGCGACTCAGTATGTCTTAAAATCATAGGTTAGTTAAGACTTGTTTTAGTTGCGATATTGTCACTATTATCGTCCAATATTTTCTAATTCGAGTAATGTTTCTATGTGAAATTTCGATATTTTCATGGCTGTATCCTTTGATTAAAAATTAATATTAACTCTGTAAGTTTCCACCAGGGCAGCGTGTGATAAAATAATTTACTGCATTTTTATCTCTTTTACAACTTCATGCAAGAGAATACTTGCTTCTCACCTCTGTAACACATCTTAGTCATGTCAGTGACTCGTATCTTCTTAAATGCGTACCGACTCGTGTACTTTTTTTGTAGAAGTGAGAATAATGATCAGTGTAGTTGTAATATTAACTTTGTTTACAGAAGTTTGAGAATAATGATCAATGTGTACTAGCTAGATGTGGTATTAACTCTGTTTACTGACGCGCCGTCAATATACACAACAGATACATTGTAAATTTTAAGATTTTGATGATTTTGAAAATTATTAAAAAAAATATCAACTTCTTAAAGTGTTAACACTGGAAGTAACTGATTGTCTTATTGTACTGGATGGAAATATTCGTAACCCTCATGAAGTGAAAAATTAATTAGGTTAGGTTAGGTAAGGTTCGTCAGGAAACAGGATAAATGTTTCCTGACGCGGGTCTTAGTCAGATGATGACCCGCCTTTGGAGCTTTTGGTCTTCTGACCGAGGCCTTCCGCTGGCTTACCGGTCCACCCCTTTAAAAATTATGGTCATTTATAACCAGTCTGAAAAATTAATTTGTCAGGATGAAAAAACTCCAAGAAGCCGAGACTTAAGTAAACTCTGAATGTCAGTAGAAGCTTATGACAACCTCCTGTTTGATAAAGTTTTTTAAAGAAAAAAGTTTCTTTTTTTACATGGGGAAGATGATCAAATAAAAACGGCTAGAACTGATTTCTGAACTTATTGTGAGTCATCCCCCCCTCGCGATCTTTTGCGTGGAATGAATAAAAGATGACTTCGTCCTTGTGGGGGGTTTTCAAGATACACCAGTGTTGTCGGGGTTCAAGGGTGCGACGCGTGCTGTTTGAGGTTCAAGGGCGCGAAAAGCATGCAATGTTTTCGGGTTTAAGGGCGGACGCAGTGCAAATGTTGTCGGGGTTCAAGGGCGCACGCGTCAAATGGTTTTCGGGGGTTCAAGGGGGGACGCATGCAAGTGTTGTCGGGGTCAAAGTGCGACACAGTGTAAGTTTGACGGGGTTTAAAATGGACACATTAAGTGTTGACGGGGGGTTCAAGAGGCGACACATAAGTGTTTGACGGGTTCAGAGTGCGACACAAAGTGTTGACGGGTTCCAAAGAGTGCGACACAGAGTAAGGGTTGACGGGGTTCAATAGTGCGACACAAAGTGTTGACGGGGTTCAAGAGTGCGACACAGTGTAAGTGTTGACGGGGTTCAAGAGTGCGACACAGAGTAAGTGTTGACGGGGTTCAAGAGTGCGACACAGAGTAAGTGTTGACGGGTTAAAAGAGTGCGACACAGAGTAAGTGTTGACGGGGTTCAAGAGGGGCAAACACAGAGTAAGTGTTGACGGGGTTCAAGAGTGCGACCACAGAGTAATTGTGAGGGGGTTCAAGAGTGCGACACAGAGGAAGTGTTGACGGGGTTTCAGAGTGCGACACAGAGTAAGTGTTGACGGGGTTCAAGGGGCGACACAGTAAGTGTTGACGGGGTTTCAAGAGTGCGACACATTTGTAAGTTTTGGGAGGGGGTTTAAAGAGTGGCGACACAGTGTAAGTTTTTGACGGGTTCAAGATTGCGACACAGAGTAGTGTTGACGGGGTTCAAGAGTGCGACACAGAGTAAGTGTTGCGGGTTCAAGATGCGACACAGAGTAAGTGTTGACGGGTTCAAGAGTGCGACACAGAGTAAGTTTTGGGACGGGTTCAAAGAGTGCTACACATTTATAAGTGTTGACGGGGTTCAAGAGTGCGACACAGTGTAAGTGTTGAGGGGGTTCAAAGTGCGACACAGAGTAAAGTTTGACGGGTTTCAAAGAGTGCGACACAGTGTAAGTGTTGACGGGGTTCAAGAGTGCGACACAGTGTAAGTGTTGACGGGGTTCAAGAGTGTGACACAGAGTAAGTGTTGACGGGGTTCAAGAGTGCGACACAGTGTAAGTGTTGACGGGGTTCAAGAGTGCGACACAGTGTAAGTGTTGACGGGGTTCAAGAGTGCGACACAGTGTAAGTGTTGACGGGGTTCAAGAGTGCGACACAGTGTAAGTGTTATCGGGGTTCAAGAGTGCGACACAGTGTAAGTGTTGACGGGGTTCAAGAGTGCGACACAGTGTAAGTGTTGACGGGGTTCAAGAGTGCGACACAGTGTAAGTGTTGACGGGGTTCAAGAGTGCGACACAGTGTAAGTTGACGGGGTTCAAGAGTGCGACACAGTGTAAGTGTTATCGGGGTTCAAGAGTGCGACACAGTGTAAGTGTTGACGGGGTTCCAAAGGAGTGCGACACAGTGTAAGTGTTGACGGGGTTCAAGAGTGCGACACAGTGTAAGTGTTGACGGGGTTCAAGAGTGCGACACAGTGTAAGTGTTGACGGGGTTCAAGAGTGCGACACAGTGTAAGTGTTGACGGGGTTCAAGAGTGCGACACAGTGTAAGTGTTATCGGGGTTCAAGAGTGCGACACAGTATAAGTGTTGACGGGGTTCAAGAGTGCGACACAGTATAAGTGTTGACGGGGTTCAAGAGTGCGACACAGTATAAGTGTTGACGGGGTTCAAGAGTGCGACACAGTGTAAGTGTTGACGGGGTTCAAGAGTGCGACACAGTATAAGTGTTGACGGGGTTCAAGAGTGCGACACAGTATAAGTGTTGACGGGGTTTAAGAAGGGAAGACTTAATGTTACATTGGTCTTCAGCCAGGATGCTTGGTTATATGCTAGTTTAAAAAATTTTCATATTAGCGAACATTCCCGTGCGTGCGTCCTGACTGCAACCTGACCCACACACACAATTAGTTGTAAGACACTAGAGGTCCAACTTCCCCCGCTCCCCCCATCCATCCAGCAACTAGAACCGTGTAAGGAAGGTGGGTGTGGCCCATCCCATCTGTGGAAAATATACCAAGACAGTATGCTAGAGGGCTTTGGCAGTTGGATTTATCGTTGATACTTAAGGAAGGAAGAACCACTTGTTTGCTTATGCACTCTTTGTATTGCTTTACAGACTTCATCTCTTAGCTGCCTAAATCTTCTCTCCAAGATATTAAGTCTGTAATACGATTATAGTGGCCAGTATAACGGCAGTGGCCAATATAACGGTAGTGACCAATATAACGGTAGTGGCCAATATAATGGTAGTGGCCAATATAATAGTAGTGGCCACTCTTGGGTCACCTTGTTCTTAAAACCGTAAATTTCGTGTGTGTGTACTCACCTACTTGTGGTTGCAAGGGTCGATTCACAGCTCCTGGCCCCTGTGTGTTTGTGTGTGTGTGTGTGTTTTAACATATAAATGTTTTCAACTTACAGTATAACATAACATAGTATACATCCCAGGCGGTGTCAACACCGCGAATTTCAAGGACACGACACAGGAATTTCAAGGACAGGACACAGGAATTTCAAGGACAAGACAGGAATTTCAAGGACAGGACACAGGAATTTCAAGGACAGGACACAGGAATTTCAAGGACAAGACAGGAATTTCAAGGACAGGACACAGGAATTTCAAGGACAGGACAGGAATTTCAAGGACAAGACACAGGAATTTCAAGGACAGGACACAGGAATTTCAAGGACAAGACAGGAATTTCAAGGACAGGACACAGGAATTTCAAGAACAAGACAGGAATTTCAAGGAAACACAAAATTTAAAGATTTTTTTTATTTAGCATATACGTACATACACAAGTAGACACGAAAGTGGCTGTTAGTGTTTAATCTTGGTAAATACGAAGTAATGAGATAAGTCTAAGAGTGTACACGGTGGTGTCACACTGAGGTTAGGTTAGGTAAGGTTCGTCAGGAACCAGGACAAGTGTTTCCTGACGCGGGTCTTAGATGATGACCCACTGTTGAAGCTTTTGGTCATCTGACCGAGGCCTTCCTCTGGCTTACCGGTCCACCCCTTTAAAAATTATGGTCATAGTAATAAGCATTTTTTTTCCACACTGATGAGGCGTGAACAAGGAGGAGAATGACTCACGAAATCGCAATAACATAATTGCAAACACATCAAGGAACGGGTGGGGGTTTGAACCCATGGCGAGTGAGTCCTGAAGCTCACAGGCCAGTGTGTTAACCACTGGGCCAGCCGGCTCTAATAAGATTGATCCACCTAGGTATATTTCTGTACACCATAGGGAGGTTAGCATTGGCCACCACTGTGACCTCAAATATAGGTTTTTCAGATAAGAATCTTAAGAAATTGACCTTTTTAACTAGAGGCGAGGAGGAGACATGATCCTGTATTACAAAATACTCATGAAACTAAATAGTAAAATACAGGAACAAACTGCGTAATATATGGGGAACGGTAGACATGGGAGACTGCAGATTAATCTGTGGATAAGCCACAAGTGATTTTCGAGACTCAGGGAAGTAGAAACAACATAATGATGAGGTGGAAGGAAATATGCGCAGTTTCACGAGTAGGTATGGCTGAGCCCTTGGAAATCGGGACTGAGTAAGCCGGTTTATAGTATTTAAAAGGTAGGGTCAGGAGCTATGAATTCAGCTCGTAACCACAAGTTGGTGAGCAGACGCAACACAAATACTCATTGGTCGGCGACCAGAGGTTATAACACAGTTTTCATGTCCAGTTGACTCACTGGACGGTACGCACACCTGTGCCAGACTACCAGTAGTAGCCTGGATAGCCGCCAAAACCACCAAAGCCGCCGAGACCGCCGAAGCCGCCGAAGCCACCATAGCCACCATAACCTCCGTAGCCACCGAAAAATCCACGATGGTGATGGTGAGGGTCAGCAAGTGCGTCAGGGAGCGCCACAGGGGCGGGCAGGGCCACAGGGTCAGGGAGGGCCACAGGGGCGGGCAGGGCCATGGCCACTCCTAGCATCAGGCACAGGGCCACCACTACAAGTGTCTGAGGAAGAAGGTTATTAATCAGAAAATGTAATCCACATCACAAAATATTTTTTTTAATATCTGTAATCCAGAAAATTGACAAAATTTGTCTGTGACCTCAAACACACAAGTGCTAGTACTAGTGTCTACCATCACTAGTGCTAGTACTAGTGTCTACCATCACTAGTGCTAGTACTAGTGTCTAACATCACTAATGTTGATACTAGTGTCTAACATCACTGGTGCTAGTACTAGTGTCTACCATCACTAGTGCTAGTACTAGTGTCTAACATCACTAGTGTTGATACTAGTGTCTACCATCACTAGTGCTAGTACTAGTGTCTACCATCACTAGTGCTAGTACTAGTGTCTACCATCACTAGTGCTAGTACTAGTGTCTAACCATCACTAGTGCTAGTACTAGTGTCTACCATCACTAGTGCTAGTACTAGTGTCTAACATCACTAGTGTTGATACTAGTGTCTACCATCACTGGTGCTAGTACTAGTGTCTACCATCACTAGTGCTAGTACTAGTGTCTAACATCACTAATGTTGATACTAGTGTCTAACATCACTGGTGCTAGTACTAGTGCCTACCATCACTAGTGCAAGTACTAGTGTCTAACATCACTAGTGTTGATACTAGTGTCTACCATCACTGGTGCTAGTACTATGTGCCTACCATCACTAGTGCTAGTACTAGTGTCTAACATCACTAATGTTGATACTAGTGTCTACCATCACTGGTGCTAGTACGAGTGCCTACCATCACTAGTGCTAGTACTAGTGTCTACCATCACTCGTGTTGATACTAGTGTCTACCATCACTGGTGCTAGTACTAGTGTCTAACATCACTAGTGCTAGTACTAGTGTCTAACATCACTAGTGTTGATACTAGTGTCTACCATCACTAGTGTTGATACTAGTGTCTACCATCACTGGTGCTAGTACTAGTGCCTACCATCACTAGTGCTAGTACTAGTGTCTACCATCACTAGTGTTGATACTAGTGTCTACCATCACTGGTGTTGATACTAGTGTCTACCATCACTGGTGCTAGTACTAGTGCCTACCATCACTAGTGCTAGTACTAGTGCCTACCATCACTAGTGCTAGTACTAGTGTCTACCATCACTGGTGCTAGTACTAGTGCCTACCATCACTAGTGCAAGTACTAGTGTCTACCATCACTAGTGTTGATACTAGTGTCTACCATCACTGGTGTTGATACTAGTGTCTACCATCACTGGTGCTAGTACTAGTGCCTACCATCACTAGTGCTAGTACTAGTGTCTACCATCACTAGTGTTGATACTAGTGTCTACCATCACTGGTGCTAGTACTAGTGTCTAACATCACTAGTGTTGATACTAGTGTCTACCATCACTGGTGCTAGTACTAGTGTCTAACATCACTAGTGTTGATACTAGTGTTATACCATCCTAGGTTCTAGTACTAGTGCCTACCACACTAGTGCTAGTACTAGTGTCTACCATCACTAGTGCTAGTACTAGTGTCTAATATCTCTAGTGTTGATACTAGTGTATACCATCACTGGTGCTAGTACTAGTGCCTACCATCACTAGTGCTAGTACTAGTGTCTACCATCACTAGTGCTAGTACTAGTGTCCAACATCACTAGTGTTGATACTAGTGTCTACCATCACTGGTGCTAGTGCTAGTGTCTAACATCACTAGTGTTGATACTAGTGTATACCATCACTGGTGCTAGTACTAGTGCCTACCATCACTAGTGCTAGTACTAGTGTCTACCATCACTAGTGCTAGTACTAGTGTCTAATATCTCTAGTGCTAGTACTAGTGTCTAACATCACTAGTGTTGATACTAGTGTCTACCAACATTGGTGCTAGTACTAGTGTCTAACATCACTAGTGTTGATACTAGTGTCTACCATCACTGGTGCTAGTACTAGTGTCTAACATCACTAGTGTTGATACTAGTGTATACCATCACTGGTGCTAGTACTAGTGCCTACCATCACTAGTGCTAGTACTAGTGTCTACCATCACTAGTGCTAGTACTAGTGTCTAATATCTCTAGTGCTAGTACTAGTGTCTAACATCACTAGTGTTGATACTAGTGTCTACCAACATTGGTGCTAGTACTAGTATCTACCATCACAAGTGCTAGTACTAGTATTGATACTAGTGTCTACCATCACTGGTGCTAGTACTAGTGTCTACCATCACTAGTGCTAGTACTAGTGTCTAACATCACTAGTGTTGATACTAGTGTCTACCATCACTGGTGCTAGTACTAGTGCCTACCATCACTAGTGCTAGTTCTAGTGTCTAACATCACTAGTGCTAGTACTAGTGTCTAGCATCTCTAGTGCTAGTACTAGTGTCTAGCACCGCTAGTGCTAGTACTAGTGTCTAACATCACTAGTGCTAGTACTAGTGTTTAGCATCTCTAGTGCTAGTACTAGTGCCTACCATCACTAGTGCTAGTACTAGTGTCTACCATCACTAGTGCTAGTAGCGTCTAGCATCTCTAGTGCTAGTACTAGTGTCTAACATCTCTAGTGCTAGTACTAGTGTCTAACATCACTAGTGCTAGTACTAGTGTCTAATATCAGTAGTGCTAGTACTAGTGCCTAACATCACTAGTGCTAGTACTAGTGTCTAACATCACTAGTGTGTCCCAACACTAGTGTTGGTACTAGTGTGTCCCAACACAAGTGTTGGTACTAGTGTGTCCCAACACAAGTGTTGGTACTAGTGTGTCCCAACACAAATTTTGGTACTAGTGTATCCCAACACAAGTGTTGGTACTAGTGTGTCCCAACACAAGTGTTGGTACTAGTGTGTCCCAACACAAGTGTTGGTACTAGTGCGTCCCCAACACAAGTGTTGGTACTAGTGTGTCCCAACACAAGTGTTGGTACTAGTGTGTCCCAACACAAGTGTTGGTACTAGTGTGTCCCAACACAAGTGTTGGTACTAGTGTGTCCCAACACAAGTGTTGGTACTAGTGTGTCCCAACACAGGTGTTGGTACTAGTGTGTCCCAACACAAGTGTTGGTACTAGTGTGTCCCAACACTAGTGTTGGTACTAGTGTGTCCCAACACAAGTGTTGGTACTAGTGTGTCCCTAACACTAGTGTTTGGTACTAAGTGTGTCCCAACACAAGTGTTGGTACTAGTGTGTCCCAACACAGGTGTTGGTACTAGTGTGTCCCAACACAAGTGTTGGTACTAGTGTGTCCCAACACAAGTGTTGGTACTAGTGTGTCCCAACACACGTGTGTAAACACATACAAAACACATAGGTGATAGTTAAACTTACCGCTCTCATGTTGTTTGTAGACGAGTATGGCAGCTCGAGTATGGCAGAAGGATCTCTCAGTAGTTGGAGAGTTCCCTCTTCTCTCTTATATATATGACGAACCCCTGGGCAGCGATGGGGAAGGGGTGGTTTCTGGGGATGGGGGGAAGCCCCTTAACTGGTTTACCCTGGTATGAGGCCTAGACATACGCTATAGTTGTATATTGTTTTGTATTGTTCTTATATATCCTTTGCCTCTAGCTGCTACATTTCAAGTTATTTTGTTTAATTTATATCTTTTCTGTCATTATCCTCGCCTAATGTGTCTACATTAGAGAAAATGTATGTTATTGTCTTTGTAGCAAACTGGTGCCAATGTTGCGTAGAAGGGGGGATTCCCAGGCAATATACGTGTATGGTAACATCTGCACAAAACGTTTTTGTTACTGTGAAGGTGATGGTGTTGGCTCAGTCACAAGTGCTGCTGACGACTGATATTTTCTTCTCGCCTCAGTCACTGGTGCTGAGGATTCATGTGTTCTTCTTGGCTCAGTCACTGGTGATGTTGAGGACTGATGTGCTCTTGGCTCAGTCACTGGTGGCGCTGAGGATTCATGTGTTCTTCTTGGCTCAGTCACTGGTGGCGCTGAGGATTCATGTGTTCTTGGCTCAGTCACTGGTGGCGCTGAGGATTCATGTGTTCTTCTTGGCTCAGTCACTGGTGGCGCTGAGGATTCATGTGTTCTTCTTGGCTCAGTCACTGGTGGCACTGAGGATTCATATATTGTTCTTGGCTAAGTCACTCAGGATCTTGAAGGTGGACTGTCATATATTATCATATATGGAAGAACAAGAAAAAAGTTATTTTTGTTGCCTTCTTCTACCTGTCAAAAGTTCGAGAACTTTTGGTTGTAATACAGGGCATCATCATTAACAAGACACACACCTGCTGCGCAGGTGACACATTCCAGCAATAAGAATACATAAATGTTGCTCATGTGTCTTTTTAATCCTCTCAGTCTTGACTTTGAGGTTCAATTGCTCTCAGTTTTTTTTTCTCGTCTTAGTTTTCTTCTCAGTTTCAAGCTGTCTTTTGCAAGGATGAAGGAACTTCTCAGTTTCGTGTCTCTATTGTAAGAATAAGAGAACTTTCTTCTCAGTTTCATACATCTGTTGTACGGATAAGGGAACTTTCTTCTCAGTTCCAAGGTATCTATTGTAAGGATGAGAGATCTTTCTTTACAGTTTCAAGATTCTATTGTTAGACTAGAGGACTTTCTTCAGTTTCCAGACGTCTATTGTTAGCGTGAGAGAACTTTCGTCTCAGTTTCCAGACGTCTATTGTAAGGATAAGAGAATTTTATTCTTTTCTAAGTTCAGTTCTGTAACGACTCTTGTACTGGGCCATCTCTGTATACTTAATTTGCAAAATATTATTAACACACCTCGTCCTGTGGTTGCTCAAGTTACTTTTCATCAGACTAATACACTTGCCATAAGTCTGGTTCAAACTTCTTCTCATTCCTCTAATATTTTCGAAATTTCTTAAATTCCTGTTACTCTTGTCCTCACTAACACATTGGTGCAGCTGGTCGATCCATTTTTCCGAAAGACTTAATCAAATTAACAGAAGTGTTGACCAGGTTAACGTTAAGAATATGTTGGTCGTGTCATATTAAAGGCCAATATGTTATGTCAATTATTTGGAAAAACGAACTGATGAATAAGGCACTTGTGCAAAATTTGAATTTCTATGCTGTGGAGACGTTTTGCCAGGTAATGGCTTCATCAGTCCATTACGGGAAGAACGGTGGAAGGTAATCAGTCTCTCGGCCTGGAGTCGATGTGTTCAGTTCTCATCTCAGTTCATCGACTCCAGGCCGAGGGACTGATTACCCCTAACTCTTTCTCATCTTCCACCGTTCGTCTCTATATTGGACTGAAGAAGCTACTGGTTGGCGAAACGTTTCCACAATGAAGATAACCAAATGTTGTACAAATGTCTCATTCATCGACCACAGTAAACAGAAGCTGATCATTTAAAGAAACTATTTGTTTCTTACTCACGAAATTGTAATACTGAAGATGGGTGAGATTCATACCCACGATGAGTGAATCTTGAAACTAGAGGGTAAGTGTACTAGCCATCATGACTTAATAAGAAATATTCACCTTGTTAGGCTGGCGTGGTACAGTGGTTAACACACTGTCCTGCTAGTTTCATGACTAGCTGGCCGTGGGTTCGCATCTCACCCTTTCCGTGACCTCTCTGTCTCTCCCCTAACTTTTACAGACGTCGTCTTGTTGAATAGGTACCTACAACATAAATATCACGACTACTGTAAATACTTGCTGTTTTCAGTACATCGTTCAGTGTCCTAATGTTTAGGTTGACTATAGTCAAATGCGAACCACTACCTTTAAAAATCATTCGTTGTGACTTATTTCAGCTACGATATTGTCACTTTTACCTTCCAGTATTTTCTAATCTGCGTAATGTTTCTCTGTGTAATCTTATTTTTCTGTTGTAAGTAGTTTTCTTTTTTAATGAAATTGGGTATATCCATGGCTGTATCCTTTGATGAATGAATATTAATTTGGTAAATTTCCATCAGGGCAGCGAATGTTAAAGTAATTTACTGCATTTTCCCTCTTTTTGCAACCTCGTGAAAGAAAATACTTAAGGGTGAGCTTGCTATCACATGCAGCTCATAAGACTGCCATCCCCACGAGCCCCTTTGGGGCGGGACAGATGGCAGACCAGAGGCCTAGCTTCTCCCTACGAGCCCCGTGAGGGCGGGGACTGTGGCTAGGCCTGGGGACAGTTGGTCCCACAGATGAGGGGGTACTTGTACCTCCTCCCATGGGAGACTTAGGTCTCGAGATACTCCCCAGATAGGGAGCCAAGGCCGGGTCACCACTACTTGGAAAAGACCCGGGCCGGGAGAGTACCGGCGAATAAAAAAAAAAAAAAAAAAGAGAGAATACTTGGTTCTCACCTCTTTTGTGACAGCTGCGAGCCAGATGTGTGATGGTATCTGGTATCTGAAGCACAGAGAACACCACCTTGACCTACACTGTTTAGGATCCCCGGCCTATATTTGAGAAGTATGAGGGCAACTTTTGTTATGGAAGACGGTGCCCCTTGTCGTACTGCCAAAGACATAAAAATTTAGCTAACTTATTGTGATTTTTGCCATAATTTAATGACTGACCTGGAAACTCACTGGACTTAAGTCAGAGAGAAAGTTTGGAAACTTGTTAAGCCTCAGCTTCATGGTATGGACGTGTCATCCAAGGACCCCAATGAAAATAAGTCTGACTTTTTTGGGGTTATCCTAGGTGATTTACATTATATATGATAATTGTACTTATGTGTACCTGTGCCGAAATGAACTTTAGTATCTAACCTCAAACTCTCGAGTGCCATTAAGCATGTGTGGAAGGGTACTGATTTGTTTATTTTCAATAAGATAGCTTCATCAGTGCCTAGAAGACTTAAGAGGCACGTAAGTTCCCCAGTCTTCTAATAACATGTTCATTTCTCCACTATAATCTACCGTGTCCATAATTACCATCGCATTTGCTTTGTCTGTTTCGTAAGGTGAAGTCCAGGATCTTTCCTTAATTGATGGTGACAATTGATGAGGACAGTGGTGTTGGAGAGGTCTGAGCTTTGCTCAGGAATTGAATTAGAGGAATTAGACACATGTTCAACGTCTTGGTATCTTTATTTGTAGACGTTTCGCCATCCAGTGGCTATCAATACACTACAAGGACATCAAATGAAGACTAACTTCTTCATCTTTTGTATATAATTCTACGGTCTTTATTTTATGTCCATGTATTGTATTGATAAAGTCACTGGATGGCCAAACGTCTACAATAAAGATACCCAGATGTTGCACATGTGCCTAATTCTTCGTCTTGTCGGCACTGTACACCATTCATATGCAAGTAATTTTGATAGGAAGGTCAAAAGAATTACAAGGCTTGTTTTTTAAGCCGTGGTGCCAAACGTTGTCGAAAAGGTTACGAAGGAAGGTGAGAGCAGAGTCGTAGCATACACCTTGATACTGCACTCCAACTCTAAGATCTCTTACTTCCAATTCAGTGTTACGGTGTTTTATGTACGGATCAACTAAATGACGAAGCAGAGCACCGTTCCAGTCGAAGAACATTTGGACACCGTTCCAGTCGAAGTACATTTGGGCACCGTTCCAGTCGAAGTACATTTAGACACCGTTCCAGTCGAAGTACATTTGGACACCGTTCCAGTCGAAGTACATTTGGACACCGTTCCAGTCGAAGTACATTTGAACACCGTTCCAGTCGAAGTACATTTGAACACCGTTCCAGTCGAAGTACATTTGGACACCGTTCCAGTCGAAGTACATTTGAACACCGTTCCAGTCGAAGTACATTTGGACACCGTTCCAGTCGAAGTACATTTGAACACCGTTCCAGTCGAAGTACATTTGAACACCGTTCCAGTCGAAGTACATTTGGACACCGTTCCAGTCGAAGTACATTTGGACACCGTTCCAGTCGAAAGTACAATTTGGACACCGTTCCAGTCGAAGTACATTTGGACACCGTTCCAGTCGAAGTACATTTGGACACCGTTCCAGTCGAAGTACATTTGAACACCGTTCCAGTCGAAGTACATTGAACACCGTTCCAGCGAACCCCCACAAAAAAAAAAATATTCACCTTTAAGCTAACATATATTGTGTACATATAACTACAGCGAAGCATTTATCGAGAGAACGCGCTCTTGTTTACAGTTTCTGGTAAACTTTTAGTGATACTTAGTTCATTAGGTTCTGCCATCAGCACTCTCCTCACCTCTACTGTTATGTGTTCCATAACAATGCAGGTGTAGTGTACTATGTTGTATAGTGTACCATAGTGTAGTGTACTATGTTGTAGTGTACTATGTTGTACAGTTTTACCATGTGTAGTTACTATGTTGTAGTGTACTATGTTGTACAGCGTACCATAGTGTAGTGTACTGTTTGTGTACTATGTTGTACAGTGTACCATAGTGTAGTGTACTATGTTGTAGTGTACTATGTTGTACAGTGTACCATAGTGTAGTGTAATATGTTGTAGTGTACTATGTTGTACAGTGTACCATAGTGTAGTGTACTATGTTGTACAGTGTACCATAGTTAGTTTAGTGTACTATGTTGTACAGTGTACCATAGTGTAGTGTACTATGTTGTACAGTGTACCATAGTGTAGTGTACTATGTTGTACAGTGTACCATAGTGTAGTGTACTGTGTTGTAGTGTACTATGTTGTACAGTGTACCATAGTGTAGTGTACTATGTTGTACAGTGTACCATAGTGTAGTGTAATATGTTGTAGTGTACTATGTTGTACAGTGTACCATAGTGTAGTGTAATATGTTGTAGTGTACTATGTTGTACAGTGTACCATAGTGTAGTGTAATATGTTGTACAGTGTACCATAGTGTAGTGTACTATGTTGTACAGTGTACCATAGTGTAGTGTACTATGCTGTACAGTTTTCTCACATTAGATGCACTTAAAGTATTAGATCAGTCTTGCTGGTTCACCATCTCTCTCTCTCTCTCTCTCTCTCTCTCTCTCTCTCTCTCTCTCTCTCTCTCTCTCTCTCTCTCTCTCTCTCTCTCTTTTCTCCTCTCTCTCTCTCTCTCTCTCTCTCTCTCTTGGTGATTCTTTAACGTGCTGACACAAATCATTCAGTTGTCGCCTCTGTCATCTTTATCCTCCACTTTTCTTGTCTCCTCAATGGGCCTCATTTTACCAGATTTTTTTTTCAAGGTTGAAATTGCCCTTGTTATTAGCAACTTAGCGTTGGTCGTGTGAGTTTATTTTGCTGCTTCCGCTGTGGTATTAACCACTGCTATGTAGTCATCTTATTTCTGCCTTGGTCTTCTACTGTTTGGTGGTGGGTTGTAAATCACTACCACTACTACTACTTTGGGGTCCCCCAATCTTGATTGTGCCCTGGATGCGCTGTAGTCACTCGAAATATTTTGGTTTATCTCTTTGTTTCCAAAACTCCAGTGATTTCTAATACTGAATATGTGTGCACGTTTGTGTCTCTGTCCGTGTGTACGTATGTGCATGAGTAAGTGGGTATGTACGTGTGTGTGTATGTGTTTATCTTCACAGTACGTAGCCAGCATATTGATGCCACTCTTCACTATTATATCAGAGCTGATGTGGCAAGTAAATATTTTCTCTTGCTAATGTTTTTTAAGTAACTTTACCAAAATTACCAAAATTACTCATATCAAGGATAATAAAATATGTAATTAATTTTTTAATGTACTTTCTTAAATTTGACAATTATGACATGTTGAATCTCATAATCAAATAACCAGATCTTAAAATTAAACTAATTAATATTTTAATTAATCTTTAGCCATATTAATAATTACTGATTAAACACACACACACACACACACACACACACACACACACACACACACACACACACACACACACACACACACACAACACACACACACACACACACATTCACACATTCACACATTCACAGCCCACATCATTATGTTTCTAACAAATGGTAGCGGCATTTCTCATATTGTTGACACAGATCCTCCAGGTTACTTGCCTGTTACATCTCCCAAGATTTCAGCTTATGTTGTTAGGTAAGACACATATGCAACAGTTAGGTATCTTTATTTCGAAACGTTTCGCCTACACAGTAGGCTTCTTCAGTCGAGTACAGAAAAGTTGATAGAAGCAGAAGAGACTTGAAGACGATGTAATCGGTCCATCATCCTTAAAGTTTTGAGGTGGTCAGTCCCTCAGTCTGGAGAAGAGCATTGTTTCATAGTCTGAAACAATATGGAGTTGAAGTGACAGGATGGAGCCTTATATAGCGCCAGGAGGTGAGACGTAGGTCACTAGTAGAAGTAAGAACGCAGATGTTGGGAGGTCAGGTCCCTCTCAAATCCAGCCGTTCTCACTAGTAGAGGTTGTCGAAGTTGATTGCAGGTCTGTACCAAGATACCCTTGTGTTGCAGTGTCTGACAGAATGAACATTAATGTTCATTTCAGCTTATGCATAAGGGTTTGGTTGCAAATTAGGTTATTGTTACATAGTAATATAACTTGTGCCTACAAGCACACGAACACGTATGTGTACAGTACATGTTATAGGTTGCCATGAGTCAGTATGTTATAGGTTGCCATGAGTCAGTATGTTATAGGTTGCCATGAGTCAGTATGTTATAGGTCGCCATGAGTCAGTATGTTATAGGTTGCCATGAGTCAGTATGTTATAGGTTGCCATGAGTCAGTATGTTATAGGTCGCCATGAGTCAGTTACGTTATAGGTTGCCATGAGTCAGTATGTTATAGGTTGCCACGAGTCAGTATGTTATAGGTCGCCATGAGTCAATATGTTGGTTCACTGGACGATATCTACATTAACCAAAGAAACCAAAGGGCTGAAATCCAAATCCTCCAAAGCTACCATAACTGCCGTAGCCTCCAAAACCGCCATAGCCTCCATAGCCTCCATAACCACCATAGCCTCCATAACCGCCATAGCCTCCATAACCCCCGTAGCCACCATAAAACCGGTGATGATGATGAGGATCAGGGTCAGGTAGGGCCACAGGGGTGGGCAGGGCCAGGGCCACCCCCACCATCAAGCACAGGGCCACCGCTGCCAGTGTCTGGGGAAGACAATCAACGTCAACACAATACTTGTAAAGTAAAAGGACACAAGTGCAACTAATGTGACATTTTATTGTGGCAACGTTTCGCTCTCCAGGAGCTTTATCAAGCCATTACGTAATGGCTTGATAAAGCTCCTGGAGAGCGAAACGTTGTCACAATAAATGTCACATTAGTTGCACTTGTGTCCTTTTACTTTACATATTGTCGGTAATTCTACCAACTTTATTACAACACAATACCTGTCTACCAGGATGAGTGTAGTAATAAAGATAAATAGATAGACAGAGAGAGAGAGAGAGAGAGAGAGAGAGAGAGAGAGAGAGAGAGAGAGAGAGAAAGAGAGATAGAGAGGAGATTGGTTAACTGATTTTCTAAAAACATCACTAATAAAAACTGATTAACCTCATGAAAGAAAATTACGAAAGAGAGGGACGAGGTTTGGAAGAGAAACCAACATCTTGAAATATTTTAATGTTCCGCAATAGATAACACAAAAATATTAATAGACATGTAAAAAAAATAGGTTCTTTTATACCGTATTAAATTTCACGTCTTTCTGAACTGTGATCCTCGAGCACCTTAGTTAATGTAGCTGTTACAGGAATAATGGTAAATGCTTTCTTTTCTTTTTTGGAACGTCACTTTTACCTGGTGAAAAGCGGCTGATATCGTATTTTTTAAATATTTATTTTAGAAATTAACTTAATATTAATTTGAAATCAGCTCGAGTGTAAATATTAAATTGATAAATAGAGTTCACAGAACCTTAAGTATATGATATACATTACATTATTTATTATTGACGACAGTGTTATGCATAATTATTTATCTTGATAAATACTGAGTGGATATAGTGGCTCTCTTCACCACACGGGTATATCATATACCAGATTCATGTTTAATACACCCATATATATTTATAAGCTTAAGGTATCGTCAAATTGTCATACCTCGGTGCCCCTTGACTCATAACATCTCTGGGAAAAGGCACATATGTACGGTTCAGGACATTTATTAAAGGAAATGTTTCGCCACGAGTGACTTCTTCAGTCTTAATAACAGAGATAACTAAGAAATGCGTATATATAGTGGCAGGAGTCAGGTGGTGAGCTGCGAGGTTTACCACCTGACACCTGACACTATATATACTCGTGTCTTAGTTTTATCTGTATTAGGACTGAAGAAGTCACTCGTGGCGAAACGTTTCCTTTAATAAATGTCCTGAACTGTACATAAGTATCTTTTTTCACATCTTGTCGGTATCACCAGACCATTTGTCAACGTCTGTGTAATCCCATATCCACAACCAAGAAGTCAGTGTGCTCTACACTCCGGATACAGATCAGATTCCTCACTCTCAAGTTTTGTATATCGTTGTGACACTACATCTCTCAGTCAGGTTAGGCACTGCTGGGTCTGCCCAGTAATTGGATCAACATGACACTAGCTGTGTGTGTGTCACTCGGACAGTTTGGTTGAGCACTACGAGGTTTGAGCTAGAAGGGGATAGATAGAATCCGATACTTTTATAGCCTCCACATTACAGCAAAACGTTAGAGAGATGTTGTGAAGAGCAGTTATCAACATGCTTGCTCACTGGTGCATTATACTTTACGAGTTATCTTTGAGTAACGCATGATGATGACAAGTTTCCAGAGATTCTAGGATATTAAAGCGCCTACTATCCTGTATCGTGCTGCCTGGTTTATATCTTAAATATACTGTGAATATATCCACCAGTAGTGTGAATATATCCATTATCGTGAATATACCCACCAATATTGTGAATATATTCATCAGATTTGTGAAAGTATTCATCAGTTTTGCGAATATATTAATCAGTATTGTGAATATACCCACTAATACTGTGAATACATTCACCAGTATTGGGTCTGATATAATTAATCCATCTGAACAAGAGAGTTTTGTGAACGTGAAGCTTACGACTTTCATGTCGACAGAGACAGTCGCAGTGCAGATATGACAGACTGGCTTCTCTGGAACTGAAGACTGTACTGTAGCAGGTTCGCTGGTCTTGTCCGGGCCCGGGTCTTTTCCAGATGGTGACTCGATGAAACTGAAGACTTCCCTTTAGGCTTATATATCAGGCAAACATGTAGGCAGGGACGGGGAGGTGTAGCAGGGCCCGGGTAGGAGGGAATCTCTACTTGTTCATGCTGGGCTGTGAAGCCAGGACGATTGTCAGTACAATTGCGTTTTCGCTTAAGACTTTTACTTTATTATTAATTGTCTCAGGCTGTTTCATGATAGGTTAGCTTTTTAAATATCATTATTTCTACATCATTGTCATCGTGTTATAATGCGTAATTTTCATCATAGTGATGGCTTGTATCATCCTTGCACTTCACTCGTACGAATGTTACTTGTACTGTCATGGAATTTCCCAGCTTGACACTAGAATATTAATAACAGACAATACGTATCCACAGTCACCTGATTGTCGAGGCGGTGTGGCTATGGTACTCGTTGCTTCATCACTCAGGATGAGACCAGAATTTCTCTCTCAAACAAGCACAAAATCTGCGAGAAAAGACTCACTGTGGGGTGGCTGAAACAATTCACAGCTAACTCTGAATTCATGGGAAAACCTTAAATATCGTTCCCTCTGCAAATTATGTGTTAGATGTGGAGATCACGATATTATTAGACGTGCTGGTCAATGGTCAATACCCGCTGAATAAGTGTAAAGGTTTCCTGAGATATTTGGATCAAGTGTTGCTTGGGAAATAGGAAGCCGGTGCTTATTACTATATGTTTTTGTCAAATCCTCGGATACGGTATTAAATGTGGCTGTTCAACAGCTTTCTACCAGACATAAGGGGAATTACCAATAGACCCCTGGTTGTCTTCAAGAGGGAGCTGAACAGATACCTAAAGTCAGTACCTGATCAACCGGGCTGTGGTTCGTACGTTGGACTCCGTGCGGCTAGCAGTAGCAGCCTGGTTGGTCAGATGCTAATCCACCGTGAGTTCTGGTCAAAGACCGGGCCGCGGGGGCGTTGATCCCCGAAACACCCTCCAGGTAGAATCCAGGTGAGTAGGTAGTATAGCAAGGACATGAACTAGTAACTCTTCACAGCCCCTTGTACACGATGTATTATATTTTAGTGTACATTATTAACTTAGCATTGAGAGAATTCAGGCGTCATCACCAGGGAACATTAACGTAGCGACTCGTCACGCTGGATTTATTGACACTTGAGTTAATATAAGCACAGTTAAATAGAGAATGAATCGAACATAAGTTTAATATATGACTCAGGGATTAACTTCGGTGTCATTATACACACTAAGTCATGAGACTTGCTTCACTAAGTCACGAGACTTGCTTCACTAAGTCACGAGACTTGCTTCACTAAGTCACGAGACTTGCTTCACTAAGTCACGAGACTTGCTTCACTAAGTCACGAGACTTGCTTCACTAAGTCATGAGACTTGCTCCTAAGTCCGACTGCTTCACTAAGTCACGAGACTTGCTCACTAAGTCACGAGACTTGTGTCAAAGTCGAACTTGCTTCAACTAAGTCACGAGACTGCTTCACTAATCACGAGACTTGATTCACAATGTCACAGACTTGCTTCACTAATCAAGATTGGCATCAACTAAGTTCGAACTTGCTTACTATCCAAAGTAAACTTGACTATTCACATCTGTTAAACTTATCAGTCTCGAAATTGTGTAAATATTGTGAATAAGATAGTTAAGAAACGTAAAGTTGATAAGAAACACAAGTCGTTTTCACAATTGGGATCAACGAGTCTATTGTTTATATCCAAGTAAACTTACCACATGAATTCCTGTTTTATTTTGTAATTCGAATTACATAGTTAGGTTACGGTAGGTCTCAGAACTTAGGCAAGTGTTTCCTTACGAGTGCTAGTTTGAGACCGCCACTGGACTTGGTTATTTAATTCAATCAATTAATTCTAGTGAGGCTCTTTAAGGAGGTTCCTTGATGCTACTGAGGGGTTCTTGAAAGGAGGTTCCTTGATGCTAGTGAGGCTCTTGAATGAAGACCCTCCATTCCCCAGGCGCTGTATGACCCCAGTGTGTTTAGCGCTTCCCCAAGGATGCAGTAATATTGGTCTAGGTTAGATTAAGTTGGGTTACCTTATATTAACATTGGTTAACATAAATCAGCTTTACTTCACTTGCGAAAAATTTAACTCCTTTGCACAACCCAACTGATACTGAAGAATTCACGAAAATTGAAGAATCACTAAACTCATAGAACAGTTCAACCATGTGTAGTTATTAATGATATTTTGGTCAACATTTACTTTAGCTGGTCGGAGTAGTCAGGTAACAATTAACAGTTAACAGTGTATAATAATGAACTGGTTAGGTAATAAACATTGTTTTGTGAGCAAATTACAAAAACAGAGTAATACTTCAGCTGCTCTGTTTTATGTAAATTTTAGAGTGTTAAATGGGATATAGTGAAGAAAGTTATATTTTGAATCTTTTCGAAAAAGAAACTAACTCCAGCCAAAACGGGTCATTGAAAGATTAAGGGACCCGTGAACTATCTCCTTATTTTTTCGTATTTTTCTTCCGATTTTTTTTTCTTTTTGGTGTACGATTAGAAGCATACACGTAAAGGAATGTGGCAAAGTTTCAATAAGATCGGCCAACAAACAACTGAGGAAAAGAAAATTTACTGATTATTGCAAAGCTGAGCCGGACTGGCACCATGAGTGGCTCTGCCAACACTTAGAATACGTCTAACCCGAATTTAATATGGAAGGAATGAATGCAGTATACCTTATCTTCATATCAAATACAAATCAAATACATTTGGTACGCTTTTGACACCAAAATATCTACCTCCCCCCCCCCCCCCACCAAAATATTTGAGATACACATGTTGTTCTTGATTCACCGGTACTCTCCTGGTCCGGGTCTTTTCCAGATGGTGACCCGGTTCTGGCTCCCTGTCTTGGGAGTGTCTCAGACCTATGTCTGCTATGGGAAGAGGGACAAGTACCTCCACAGCTTCGGGACCAACTGTCCCCAGGCCTAGCCCCATTCCCCGCCATCACGGGGCTAGTAGGGAGAAGCTAGGCTTCTGGTCTGCCATCTTCCCCACCCGAAGGGGGCTCGTAAGAGCGGCAGTCTTGTGAGCTGCAGGTGGTAGCAAACTGTGGCTCTGGCACCAACCCCACCCCAGGGGGGCTCGTGGGAGTGGTGTACATGTATTCCAAATGGCTGTACATATTAAATTCATACACACTTTGTTTCATATTGTCTGCAAAAATCATTTCAATCTAATCATTAATAATGGTTTACTTTCAAGCAATAGGCCAAAATCTTGCTTTCTAGATAGTCGAGTAAACGCACGCACCCCCCATTACGTTAAAAAAAATTCACAAAAGTCATGCTACTTCGGCCTTTTTCTATGCAATAAATTATTATTATTTCCCCTGTATATTTTACCGTTTTCTCTAGTACGACCAGAAGTAACAGAAAACCGTCCTTGAGGAAATCATTCATCGTGGTCGGCCAGCATCATCCTCCAGTATAATATGCAAATAATATTATTTTTTCTGTCTCTATTATAGTTTTATCTTATTTATCTTATGTCTTTTATTATTATAGAATAAATGGTATAAGCAGATAAGTTTATTATTAATAAGAGCGTCAGTATAAGACATATTGTGGTCGACGACAAAACTGTTGACGCAGTAATTTAGTGGTAAATTTAGTGTATTAGAAAGAAAAATAGATAAAAAAAAATCATCTCGCGTCACGATTTTCTTTTTACGTGTCGTAAGATAACATGTTTCAAATAGCTATAATTTACTTTCGTAACATTGTATTACAATGGGATTTTCACCAAAATGTTGCCAGATTCTTAAACTATGTTTCTGTCACCAAAACAGATTTTCCTTATTTTTTTAAATTTTCACGAGCACGAGCCCCTCAAAGCTTTACAATAATAATAATATTTAGGATAATACATTATATATTTATTTAAAAATTTTATTTTTGGTGGCCTAGTGGCTTAAGCTCCCGCTTCACACACGGAGGGCCCGGGTTTGATTCCCGGCGGGTGGAAACATTTCGACACGTTTCCTTACACCTGTTGTCCTGTTCACCTAGCAGTAAATAGGTACCTGGGTGTTAGTCGACTGGTGTGGGTCGCATCCTGGGGGACAAGATTAAGGACCCCAATGGAAATAAGACAGACAGTCCTCGATGACGCACTGACTTTCTTGGGTTATCCTGGGTGGCTAACCCTCCGGGGTTAAAAATCCGAACGAAATCTTATCTTATCTTACTGAAAAAAAAAATAATATTTATTTTTTTTAAATTATTAAATAAATAAATATTATTTAAATAAATATTTCAGTAGTGTAAAAAAGAAAATTAAAAAATGCTTGATATGAAATTTGACAATTAGAAACATAACATCGATACCATGCCTAACCCTTCTAGGGCAGGGTAGGTGCCTGAGCCCGAGCCTTTAGCTCATAAGACTGTCATTCCCATTTGCCCCCTTGGGGCGGGGATGGCAGACCAGAGAGGCCTAGCTTGTGGCTAGGCCTGGGGACAGTTGGTCCCAAAGATGAGGAGGTACTTGTGCCTCCTCCCATGGGAGACTTAGGTCTCAGACACTCCCTCAAGAGGGAGCCAAGGCCGGGCCACCACTTGGAAAAGGCCCGGGCCGGGAGAATACCGGCGAATCTTTAATAATAAAATAGAAACATAAGGGACTGAGCTTGCTACCATCTGCAGCTCATAAGACTGACATCCCCACGAGCCCCTTTGGGGCGGGGCAGATGGCAGACCTCCCCTACGAGCCCGTGAGGGTGGGGACTGTGGCTAGGCCTGGGGACAGTTGGTCCCAAAGATGAGGGGGTACTTGTACCTCCTCCCATGGGAGACTTAGGTCTCGAGACATTCCCGAGATAGGGAGTCAAGGCCGGGTCACCACTACTTGGAAAAGACCCAGGCCGGGAGAATACCGGCGAATAAAAAAAAATAGAAACATAACTTGATTCTGCTCTTGACTCTCGCCTCGGCAGGTCACAGCAGCTCTCCTTACTTACTCAGGCCGGGTCACCACTA